CCTTTTGCTGTGCAGAAGCTCTGAAGTTTAATTAGATCCCATTTGTCTATTTTGGCTTTTGTTGCTATTGCTTTTGGTGTTTTAGTCATGAAGTCCTTGCCCATGTCTATGTCCTGAAATGTTTTGCCTAGGTTTTCTTCTAGGGTTTTTATGGTGATCAGTCTTATGCTTAAATATTTAATCCATGTGGAGTTAATTTTTGTATAAGGTGTCAGGAAGGAGTCCAGTTTCAGCTTTCTGTACATGGCTAGCCAGTTTTTCCAACACCATTTAGTAAATAGGGAATCCTTTCCCCATTGCTTGTTTTTGTCAGGTTTGTCTAAGATCAGATGGTTGTAGATGTGTGGCATTACTTCCGAGGCCTCTATTCTGTTCCATTCGTTTATATCTCTGTTTTGGTACCAGAACCATGCTGTTTTGATTACTGTAGCCTTGTAGTATAGTTTGAAGTCAGGTAGCATGATGCCTCCAGCTTTGTTTTTTTTGTTTTGTTTTGTTTTGTTTTTGTTTTTGTTTTTGGCTTAGGATTGTCTTGGCTATGTGAGCTCTTTTTCAGTTCTATATGAAGTCTAAGGTGCTTTTTTTCCAGTTCTGTGAAGAAGGTCAATGGTAGCTTGATGGGGATTGCACTAAATCTATAAATTACTTTGGACGGTATGGCCATTTTCACAATAATGGTTCTTTCTAACTATGAGCATGGACTATTTTTCCATCTGTTTGTGTCCTCTCCTATTTCCTTGAGCTCTTTCAAAACTTGCTGGGTACTTACTATGGGGCAGGCACTGGGAACCCAAGGAGTTTATTGATTTATGTGACTTAGGCAAGTGAGTAGACAACACAACACAGTACATGTTAGAATAAAGTGGATGGTAGGACCAATTGGATCAGTTATGGGCGGCTTACAACGGTCAGGGAGGGCTTCTTAGGAGAGGGAAACTTATACTGAATTCTGAAAGATGGGAGAGTTGACCTAAAAAGAAGGGCATTCTGGGCAAGGGTGATCACCATGAGCTGTTGTGTTTCTGGGAACCAGCAGGATTTAGTTTCTAAATCTGACCTCATCATTTACTGAGAACAAGGGAAAGTTATTTACTTCTTAACAGCTCTGTTTTTTCACCTGTAAAATGAAGAAAATTAAGGAGAAAAAGCATTCTAGATGGAAGTGGAGTGTTAAGCAGGTGCTCAATCACAACAGAATACCTGTGTTAAGCCAAGGAGTGTAACTATGTCTAGCAAGTTACAAGTGAGAAACTATCGGCTCTTGCAAGAGGATTCCTTATCATGGTGTTTAAGTACATTGTGTTTACGTTTTTTAAATATAGATTTTTTAATTTTTCAGAAAAACAGCATTTATAATATCTGTTGTTTAATTCTAAAAATAATGATGCTGGCCAGGTGTAGTGGCTTATGCTTTCCTGTGATCCCAGGACTTTGGGAAGCTGAGTGGGTGGCTCAGCTGAGGTCAGGAGTTCAAGACCAGCCTGACAAAGATGGTGAAACCTCTCTTTACTAAAAATCTAAAAATATTAGCCAGGCATGGAGCCACAAGCCTGTACTCCCAGCTACTTGAGTCACTAATGCAGGAGAATCACTTGAACCCAGGAGACGGAGGTTGCAGTGAGTTAGGATTGTGCCACTGCACTCCAGCCAGGATGACAGAGTGAGACTCCATCTCAAAAATACATACACAAATAAATAAGTATAAAAATAACAATGCTGATTTTGCCTGAAAATGAGGACTAAGAAGAGCAAAGAGGAGGAGCAGGAAGAGGAAGAAGAGGAGGAGGAGAAGAAGGAGAAGGAGAAGAAGAAGCAGCAGCAGCTAGATATAACTTGAATGCTTCAACATTGACAGGACCCTTTAAAAGTTTTATAGGATAGTTGCTGCTGACAAAAGTTTATTCTCTTATACTTATGCTTATTACAGAAGGAACTAAGGTTCAAATTATGTTTTATTTTTTATTTTATTTTTATTATTTTTTGAGACAGAAGCTCACTCTGTCACCCAAGCTGGAGTGCAGTGACACACTCTACACTCATTGCAAGCTCTGCCTCCCAGCTTCAAGTGATTCTCCTACCTCAGTCTCCCTAGTAGCTAGAATTATAGGCATGCACCACCATACCAGCTAATTTTTGTATTTTTCATAAAGACAAGGTTTCACCATGTTGTCCAAGCTGATCTTGAACTCCTGACTTAAGGTGATCCACTGTCTCAGCCTCCCAAAGTGCTGGCATTACAGGTGTGAACCACTGTGCCCAGCCCAGTTTTATTTTTAAACTAAGTCTTATTTTAAGCAAAGCTCAAATCTGTTTTATTTTTAAATTCCACATCGTGAACATCTTATTTCTGTTTATACACATGAAAAATGATATGTGTCCTTTTCAGTGTAGCACCGTTAATATATAAACAGAAAAAAATGATACCAAGTAGAAAGTAAATGCATTACAGTATGTCAGAGAAATTGCATCACACTCCCGGCTGGAAGATTCAGTTCACTCTTTGCTTTATTAGACTTAGGGATAGCACCGTCCCTCTCTCTATTCACTGTCTCTGGAATTATAAACCTGCCATGTTTATCATTGCTGTCAACCTAATGAAAGGGAATTGGGACAGAAAACTCCATGGAGGAAATGGAAACTTGCAGATGAATCAAGCAGAGGGGATAGAGGAAGGCCTGAGGACAGCAGGAATAATCCTGGGCCCAGGTTTCTGCAGTGACAAACAGGCATGGCAATCACTGCCAGGCAAGCAGCTGATGGTGATCTGAACCACTGGAGTGCACAGCTGGAGGGGTGGAAATGCCTCTTAGTTCTCTAACCAAGTCACTGAAGAAGATACTAGGGGAGGTGATTAATGAGCCCCCAGCTCTGACATCCAGCTTTTCTGGAAGTCAGCCTTTCATGGTGTCAAAGTTACTTTGAAAAGTCATGGGGTAAGTTTGCTCCCCCAAGAGTCATGTGAAAATGAGTCAGTGAGAGGTTTCCGCACATCACATTAACAGGTGGATGGATACTTTAAGAGGCATTGACTGCATCAGAACACCTAAGAAGGCGAGAAAAATTTTGGAAAAACTAGTTGTGATTTTTTAAAATCACAAACAGATATTAGGGATATAAAGCTTCAGAATACTTTAGCAGATAGGATCTCTGCTGAGATTACCAGTTCCTGAGAGGAACCGATGCTAGAGGGATGCCAGTAAACATGTAGAAAATGAGTGTCATCAAGAATGGAGAAGTATGTAAAGAATATGTGTGTGAGTATGAATTACCAGAGCAGTGAAATCTTAAGAGAGTTCAACAGCCTTAAGGAGAGTGGGGTGGATCACTATGCCTGGCACATAATTACCACACACTTGTTGACTCTATGAGGTTGAATTAAATGTTAAGACACACCGATTCTTAGAATCAGAAGGGTGTGAAAGAGCATGATGCCCTGCAGCCCACCAGTGCACGAGATAGGCCTTTCCCTGACATGGGCGGGAGGGGCACCTTGCCCGCAATCTGCCCAGTGACCCATCCCGACCAGCTCCTTTCTGCACAAAATATGCTGCTGTTGGAAGCAGTCATTACTTTTCAAGTAGTAAAATAACAAAAGTAATAATATCTGAAAATCTGCAATGGTCAGAACCAGAAAGAGAGAATGAACCAGGAAAACCAGGATCAGATATAGAGAGGTTCTCCTTCTGGCTGACCATGTTAGGCAATGGCCTCACAGCCACAGAATATGTTTTTTTATTCTTCCTTACATTATTTCACAATCTTATTCCACATGCATGTATTCTGAAATTCTACGAGTAGAAACTTATATTTGAAATAGTCCCTGCCCTTTCCCCAGAAAAGTGTTTAAATACTTGGATGAGGACAGAGCATCAGTCAGGGACATGGTGGTTACTCGCAAGCCTCTGGTCTTACTGGGATTGGCAGCTTGGGAAAGATGGGAGGGCTGAGAAAGTTTAGGGAGTTTTTTGTGCGGGGAGGGAATATAAGAAACTTTGAGGGGATGAGAAAGAGTTACTTTAGTTGTTCTCAGCTCAAATTTGAGCAGATATTTCTTTCTCCCCTGTTGTCATCAGCTTATGACATCACTCATCAATTCCTATTATTTTCCGTTCCCACACACATCCAAGGGAAGAGCTCCTGTCATTTTGCGTGCTGGACTCTAATGACTTCAGACCAGATGACCTCTACCGACAGAAAAGGATGGCAAGCAGAGTGCCCTTGGGCTACTCGGCTCAACTCTCACAGCCAGTGACTCTGGGGAGAGGATCAGATGAGGAAAAGTGCCTGTCATAGTGTTTGAGATAAAGTGGCCGCTTAACCACTTGTTGCCTCTATGGCAATTTTTAAATATGGAGTGTCTTTCAAACATTTTTAAACTTTTACTTTTAATTGACATAATAGTCATATATATATATATGTATATATATATATATATATATATATATAAGATACATAGTGATATTTTAATACATACATGTATGGTGATCAGATGAGGATAATTAGCACATCCATCATCTCACACATTTATCATTTCTTTGTTTGAGGAACATTCAGTATTCTCCTTCCTAGCTATTTGAATCAAAACATCACAGTGCTATCGAACACTAGAATTTATTCCTCCCATCTAGCTGTAATTTTGTTTTCTTTAACAAATCTCTCCGAAGTGGCCATTTTGCATTGTGAACTAATATTCTCTCTCTCTCATTCCCTCTCTCTCTCTCTCTCTGTCTCTCTGTCACACACGCACACACGAACACATACAAACACACACACACACACTCTCTTTCTCTCTCTCTCTCTCTCTCTCTCTTTAATTTTGCAGCTGTCTTCAGAATTATCTGTATGGACCCTGATAAACATATGTAATATATTTTTAAAATTTGACTAATGGAAGGATTAAGACTTGGAGGCCTCATAATCAATTAAAAGACAACCTGATTATATCTTTGCATTTTATAGGTACTGCTATACATTCTAATTTCTAATATTTTTCTTTCAAGGAAGCTTACAGGTTCGCTATCAGTTGAGCAAGGAAGAATCCCATATATTCACCATTGATGCGGAGAACTTTGCCAACAGGAGGATGCACCACTTGAAGATTAACCGAGAGGGAAGAGAGCTTACCATTCAGGTACCATCCTTACTTTCTCCCCCTCAGCCAATGTGCCTTGGCTACTCTATCAAACTTTTCTAAGCTTCTCCCTGTGCCAGTGTAGTACCTAGTGTTGGAAAGATAGTTACAAATCACAGTTGTCCACAGACTTGGAAGAACTAGATAATGGTTCTCAAGCTGTGCTTCCCATGTCCCACCAGCATCAGCATCACTTGGGACCCTATTAGAAATGCATATTCTTGGTCCACGCTCAGTGGCTCACACCTGTAATCCCAGCACTTTGAGAGGCTGAGGCAAGTGGATCACGAGATCTGGAGTTCAAGACCAGTCAGACCAACATAGTGAAAGCCTGTCTCTACTAAAAATACAAACATTAGCCAGGTATGGTGGTGCTCACCTGTAGTCCCATCTACTCAGGAGGCTGATGCAGAAGAATTGCTTGAAAGCAGGAGGGTTGCAGTGGGCCAAGATCATGCCATTGTACTCCAGCCTGGGTGACAGAGCGAGACTCCATCTCAAGAAAAAAAAATAGAAATGCAGATTCTTGGCCTGGTGTGGTGGCTCATGCCTCAAATCCCAGCACTTTGGAAGGTTGAGGTGGGCAGATCACCTGATATCAGGAGTTGAAGACCAGCCTGGCCAACATGGCAAGACCCCATCTCTATTAAAACTACAACATAGCCGGGTGTGGTGGTGTGTGCCTGTAATCCCAATTACTCAGGAGGCTGAGGTAAGAGAATTGCAGAGATAGTACCACTGTACTCCAGCCTGGGAGACAGAGCAACTCCATCTCAAAAAAAGAAGAAAAGAAAAGAAATGGAGATTTGTGGTTTCCACACCACATCTACTAAATCAGAGTCTATAGAAAAGGGGAAAGCAGCAGGTGATACTAATGTCTGCTCCGGTTTGCCAATCCCTGGGCTGCATTAAAGTGAGGAAGACACACAAGAAAAGAGGAAATCACAATAGGCTGTGGGAAGGGCTGTGGCAGAATCACCCACAGATGATACTGAAGAGGGTATTGATCACACCCTGGCATCAGTACTTACTTCCTGGAGGAGGTTAGGAGTAAGCTGAGTCTTGAAGATGAATAGGAGTTGGCCACATGAAAGAGGAGAGCACTGAAGACGAGGGTCCATGTGAGTGCAGGCTAAAGCTATCTGAAAGCATTTGTGCGGGAGGCACTGCATGAGATCACAGTGGGCTCCATATAAAGGGCCAGCAGCAGATGATGGCAGATCCCAATCAAAATAGGCAGAGTCCAGATCATCCCCTTTAGAACCATCACCACCAGCAAGCCCCTGCATCTGCCCAGTAATCACTCCATGTTTTTAAATTTTTTCTGTTCTCCTAGCGGACCATTTTATACTTTCTCCTCTTTACTTACCCTGCTAACAATTGCCAGTTTGTCTTCACTCTCAGAGGATGACTTTGCTTTCACATTTCTTGTAAAAAATGTAACCTTCAGAAGAGAATACCCTCACATTTTTAAAAGCACATTACCTACCTGCCACACCTTTGTTTGCACGCTCTTTCCCTCCTGGATAGTTCATGGTTCTAGCTAAGGCCTGACTTTACTACCTGTGGGCCAGATCTGATATCCTACTGAAGAAAATCACTCTGGCATGCTCCCTTCTCCCTCTCTTTCATCATTTTTTCCAGCTCTACTGGATGGCTCCCCGAAGCATAAAACAAATAATTATTACATGCATTAAGAACTAATATACAATGATAACACCAGCGAAACAAGCAAACAAGCCAGCCTATCTCTGGGTAAAGAGAGGAAACCTTTCTCTTATCTGACTTCTTATACTGTTCCATTCTCTTTGTCATTTTCTTGACCAAATTTTTGGAACTGTTGTTTATACAGCTGTTCTTCAAATTTTTCCTACCTTTTTCGTATACCTCTACTGAAAGAGTTTTGTCTCTGTGCTGCAGCAAAATCGTACTTCTCAAAGCATCAGTGTTCTTACCTTGCAAAATCCAGTGGTCGTATCTCAGTGTTACCTTTTCTTGCCCTCTCATCGGCAACTGACATAGGGATTCCTTCCCGCTCTTGCAACTTAAGTCTTTACTGCTTGCAGAATACAACTCTCGCCTTTGATCCTTCTGCTTGTGTTAGAGTTGCTCACTCTTGTCTTTGCTGGTTTCCCATCATCTTTCAAAACTCTACCCATTAGAACACTCCAGGACTCCTCCCACTTCTGCTTTTGATCTACACTCACTCCATACTCATCTTGTTCCATCTCACAGCTTTAAATTTCATGTTTATGCTGATGAATCAATCCCTAATGCATATCTAACACTAATCTTGTTCCTGGATTCCAGACCTTATAACAACTACCTACAGGGCATATCTATATGAATGTCTGTCAGATGTCGGAACACTTAAATAAATAGTTAAAAGTGACCCATTAGGAAGTCCCCCCTGAAACAATGACCTAGTCCCCCATAAGCACATCCAAGTTAGTGGCAGCTTCATTTTTCAAGTACTCAGTCTGGAAATTGTGGTATTCTCTTTTTATTTTTCGTTCTCTTCTGTGCAGCACCCATGGATCAGTAGCATCTACCTTTCCCTAAGCCATCCTTGTCCTTTGCTTGGATTATCTGTTTACAGTTACCTTTTGATTGACATCTCCTTGTTCCTCTTTATGTTCCCCAGGTGCCTATCCTCAACAGTCAGAGTCATCCTGGTGAAGGAATAGTCAGATCTTGGCATCCTTCTGTCCACACCCTCTCAATGGTTTCCTTTCTTGTGCAGAGAAAAAGTCAGAGGCCTTCCAGTGGCTTATAAGGATCTCCATAATCTGACACCGCTGCTCCTTTCCTGGTTGCTTCTCTAACCTCATCTATCACATGCCCTCTGAACTTAGTTGTACCGCTTTGGTCTCCTTGTTATTTGCAGAGCCCTTGGACTCACTACTTTGCCTAGAATGCTATTCCTTATATACATGTATGTCCAATTCTTGTACTTGCTTATGGACTCAAATAACTCAAAAAGTCATTCTCATTGAGGCCATCTCTGATTAGCTTATTTAATACAGCAATCTATTTCCTTGACTTCAACCCGACACTCCCCGTTTTCCTTGCCTGTTTTTTTTTTTTCCTCTCAGCACCTAACTTCCAATATAATGTATTTACTTAACACATTTTCTTTCCTATCTCCCTCCTCTGGAATGTTTTCCTATCTCCCTCCTCTCACATTCAGTGAGAATGTAAGGCAACAGTGGACAGTCATTCTGAGCAGACCAGAGGTGCCAAAGGAAAGTCATGGCAGGGCAGATGGGAGGTTAGGTATGAGTCCCTGCTGGGTTGCACTGAAGCTGTGCAAAGTCAGGCAAATGGCCAGTGGGATCTTAGTCTCCTCTTCTTACAGGTGAATGGTAAAATAATGAAGATTCTTTCCAGGAATAGCATCCTATGCATAGTCAGAGCAGAGTCTGGAAGAAACCAATAGGATTTGTCTAGCTTGAGTAAGTGGGGATGGATGGAGAGGCCTGCCTAGGAATCTGGAGGGGACAGAACAGTTGGAGCTGAAATTAGCAGTGGGTGAAGCAAGGAGATCATTAAAGCATGGACATAGAAATAAGGTCTTATTAAAGTTTTCCAGCGGTGGCTTTTGCTCACCCCTGCAAGATGGGATTATCAACCGTCCATGTTGGATGCAACTGTTCAACTACCCTCTCCTCCCCAGGACCACATGTTTTGTCAAATTGCAAGCCTTGCCCAGGATAATTTCTCTGCCCACAGCTAAATGAGATCAGGTCAGAATTATGAAACAGTAGGGGCAATGATGGCCCTAACAATAAGCTGAAAGCAAGAGGGAAAAATAAAAAATGAGTTCCTGCTTCCTATTAATGTCAATTTTGCACAGCAAGTTCCTGAGCAGGTTTCATTGATTTGCTGGTTTGCAGCAAAGAATTTGGTGAGAAAATCTCCATGGGGAGATAAATACCTGTAAGAAGCTGTATACAGTTTCCCAGGGAGAAGACTTGTGTGAAAGCCCTTATTTCACAAAGAAAGAGAAGGGTATTTTATGTGCATTGTGGGAGAATCAGGGAGACCTGACTCATCTCTCCTGAGAGAAAACCTCGGGCAGGGCAGGGCGGGGTGGGGGTGGTCTGCTGTCTGTGTGAGTTTTTTCAAGCTATTTCCAGATGGGATCATTTTATTCTTCTTATCTGCAGTCCTCTGCTAATGTGACTTTGTTTTCTGATTTCTTGCAGATGGACCAGCAGCTTCGACTCAGTTATAACTTCTCTCCAGAAGTGGAGTTCAAGGTTATAAGGTCACTCACCCTAGGCAAAGTCACAGGTATGTTCTAGTTCATACCTTTCCAGTGGGCTTTATTAAAATAAATGAATACATAATTTTCATTCGGGTGTTTAAGGATTCCTATCTGTAGCCTTTTCATCCCGTAATATCTGAGATCTGAAACCAAGGCTTTTTTTTTTCAAACATGCATGCAAGATTGAAATTTTTATAGCTACTTGAGGAAGTGAACGTTTTATCACACTTAGTGATCTTTTTAAACTTTAGTAATGTCTTTTTATGCTTAAATTTATTTTGCCTATTATTAATATGCCGATTACAGCCTCACTTAACTGGGTGTTTGCCTGACCTCTTTTCCCATTCTTTTTTCTTTCAATGTTCTTTTTCTTTAAGCTTTACAGATGATCTTGTGAAGGACATACTGCTAAATTTATTTTACATACCCAATCTGTCCATCCATGTTTTTTCATAGAGGCAAATGTAGGCCCTTTTACATTGTGGGGCTACTTGTACTCGGACTTGTTTCTGCTCCCCTATTTTTTAGGTATCCAACTTTTCCTGTGATTCTACCATTTGCTTTCTAACTCTCTCTATCACAGTACAGTGCAGAAAACATGAATAACTCTAGGCATTTTAAGTAGAAACACATTTAACACAGTAGGTTAGTTGCTTACAAAATTGTCATAGCACTTACAGTGTAGGTTCTTCTTGGGATCTTTTGGAATGACTTCCCTGTGCCCCCTACTGCATGCAAATTCATAAGGAGAAGAAGGAGGTCTCTGAAAAGTGGCTGTAGAGAGGCATCATGGTCTCCTGCTTTTGCTTGTCAGTAGAAAGAGCTGAAAAGGCAGAAAAATGACTCCTGCTACGGACTTCCAGCTTCATAAAGGATTTATAATTTCCAGATGTAGTGTGGATCCAGAAACCTAGCTGCAGGAGGGTCAAAGTAATGTCCATTTTAGTTTCTCAAATGGCAGTTGGAAGAACACTGATCAACACTGATCCTAGATTGAGTTATTTATTTCTGATTCCATTCTGCCTCCTAATAATAATCATCGTTATATTTTTACATACTGTTTATTTTTTATTTATTAACACAGACACAGTTTATATATTCCTCATTTCCTCCTTTTTCTCAGACTTTTCTATTTTCTGCCAGATTTTATTTTCTTCTTTGGAAGTAAATTCTTTTGAATTCATTTCTGTTTAAGGGTACCTTCATTTTATATATATACGTATATATATAAAATGTATATATGTATATATATGTATATATATATCTTCATTATATTGATTGTAATTCATATATATATATATAATTTTTTTTCTGAACAGAAGGTTTTTATTTTACCTTTAATCTTGGAAGATAACTTTGCTAGATCTTCAACTAAATGTTGAAGAATATTTTCCATCAGATGTTGAGAAATCGGTCAGAGGTGTGATGGAGCCAATGGCACCTGCCCATAAGGGCCAGGTATATATGTCTCTCCCCAACTCTGCAACCTTCCATGGAGGCAGGATGCCAGCTTGAAATCAGCTGTATTAGGAGGGTTTACACTGTGGATATCAGAAATGCTAAAAGCCAAGACGTTTCCTACCTCTTCCTCCTGAAGAGCCAGTTTCAAAGACTCACTGGCACATCAGTGTCCTCTTGTTTTCTGGCTTCCCTGGTGGCTCTTGAGAAGTCTGCTGTCCATCTGTCTTGTTTTAAAGGTGCTCTGACCACCCCCATGCCTGCCACCTACAAGTTGGTTTAAAGTCATCTCTTTTTCTTTGGTGTTTTGCAGTTTTGTCATCAGGTGTCTGCTTGTAGATTTCTTTAAAAATTCTCTTACTTGATATTTTTATGTTTCCTGTTCATTAGTTCATATGTATGTATGTATCCAATTCATATTTCTTATTCATATGTATCTGTTATCAGTTCTTAAAAACTCTCAACATATCAAATCTTACTTCCTCCTATTCTATCTACTCAATTCAGTTAGATTTGAATTATATAAACTTAGACTTGCTAATTCCATCATCATATTTCTTATCCTCTTTTTATAATTTGTATTCTTTGATATAACATGTTGCATTCTGGGCAGTTCATTTGGCTTTATCATCACATTCTCTAGTTCTCTCTTTATGTCTAATCATATGCAATGAATTGTTTCTTATTGATTTTATATTTTATTTTGAAAAATAATATTTTGTTATTTTTAAAGCATGCCTATTATTAAAGATAATATGTTGTCTCTGCTCTTTTGTTTGTTTCCATCTTTTTTTGTCTTCAGGCACTTCGTTAATAGTTATTAAACAGTTTATGATAATTCCAACATCTGAAGAATGTAAGGGTCCCAGTCTATAACTTGCTGTTTTCTAACTTTTTCCTGCAGTAGCTTGTTTCCTTATGCTGTGTGTGTGTGTGTGCATGTGTGTGTGTTCATATTGATTGTAATTCATTTGCGACAACTCTAAGAATTAAAAATCAAGACACTTTCCTCAAAATAAGGTGTATATATATATATATATATATTTTTTTTTTTTTTTTACTTCACCAGGTGCAAGGAGGTACTACCAATTTAGGATAATTTTAATTTCTCACCTTTTTACTGAACAGAGAAGAGATATAAATTTGAGCTCCATACCTGAATGAGATCAGTCTTCTGGTTGGAGTCTTAGCAGAAATGTTGATACTATTAAATCATTAACTGAATTATAACACCCTTGGAAAGAGGGAAAATTTGGGCTTACTGACCACAAAGCCAAGACCTTTTTCAGGGCACTTACTTTGTGTAATGGAAGCTCCAATAACATCCTCTTGTTAAAAAAAAAAAAAAAAATTCTTTGTTAAATCTTACCACTGTGTGTAGCATTCATATGACCCTTCATTCTTTTATCTAAGCCAACAATAATAATGGGGAATCAAAATGTTAAAGCAAGGTACTTAAGACAACCTGATATTTTATTTCTGGTGCTTTGTAATTATCAGGTAAAAAAGAACTATATTAAGATCGAGGAATAATACTGTATCAGTCCATTTTTGCATTGCCATAAATACTTGAGACTGGGTAATTTATAAAGAAAAGAGGTTCAATTCACTTACCGTTCTACAAACAGTACAAGAAGCCTGATGCTGGCATCTGCTCAGCTTCTGGGAAGTATCAGGAATCTTACAGTCATGGTAGAAGGCGAAGGAGGAGCAGGCATGCCACATGATCAGAGCAGGATGAAGACAGAGGGGGAAGATGCCACACACTTTTAAACAATTTTATCGCACCAACTCACTCATTATGGCAAAGACATCAGCAAGTGGATGGTACTAAACCATTCACGAGAAATCCTCCATCATGAGCCAATCACCAACCACCAGGTCCTACCTACGACATTAAAGATGACAATTAAACATGCGATTTGAGTAAGGACACAGATACAAACCATATCAAAGAGCCACTAAAATATCTTCATTGTTCTAAGGATGGGCGACATCTGCCTACTGGGCTTTCTTCCCATTTCAACTGCTGTTGAACAGATGGGAGGATTTGGACCAACACTGAACTTCAACCCTATGGTCTATGAAAGGTCCTAGCAGAAGGTAAAGGGAGACAATATGAACATCCAGGCTTATTATTAAGAAAGGACACTAATCCTAGGGGACCTTTGGAACAAGGAAAACAAACCTCATTCATCAGAAAGAGAGTAGAGTAGGGATAGAGAAAACAGGAAGAGATGGTATTAAAATGGATGCATGGGGGCCGGGCGCAGTGGCTCACACCTATAATCCCAGCACTTTGGGAGGCCAAGGCGGGTGGATCACGAGGTCAAGAGACTGAAACCATCCTGGTCAACAAGGTGAAACCCCGTCTCTACTAAAAATACAAAAATTAGCTGGGCATGGTGGCGCACGCCTGTAGTCCCAGCTATTCAGGAGGCTGAGGCAGGATAATTGCTCGAACCCAGGAGTCGGAGGTTGCTGTGAGCTGAGATTGGGCCATTGCACTCCAGCCTGGGTAACAAGAGCGAAACTCCGCCTCAAAATATAAATGAATAAATAAATAAAATAAAATAAAATGGATACATGGAATTAATGATACATGCATCTGAACTTTACAATTTTAGAAAAAAATGCTTTGGCTATTTTAACTGTGAATCAAAGACTAGGAAGCATTTTTCATGGTAGATATGAAAAGAAAAAATATGTAGTAAAGCTAGTGTGTCAGTTTTCCTCAGTACCGCTAATACCGTTTCATTGCAAAGCAAAAGCAAGTTTGCTCATTTTCCTTTTGTGCAAAAAAGGACAAACTGCTTATTGAAGAGGACAGTGGTTCAGTGTACCCTCTATACCACCCATGGTGCTACAGATACTGTGATGAAGAAAGCAGTTTTTGTTTGTTTGTTTGTTTCCTGAAGGTTTGCATGATGTAGATACTGGCCCGTGAAAAATAGCAGATATAATTATCTACATTAAAACTTCACTGTTGCTTCTATCGTAATGTTGATGCTCAAATCTGTTAAGTCATGGGATATTGCAAAGTTAGTTCTTCGGTTTACTGTCATTTCTTAACTTTCAAGAGAGATTACGTGGTTGTGGCCTATTGCGTCAGTGAATTTAAGATAAATAACGTTAAAGAGGGAAAAAGCACATATTGAGGGAAGTAACCCATTTGGAAGCAATAATGTTTCTGGAAAATTACTTATTTTATTTGAAAGTATAGATGTGTATGCCTCAGATTCAAACACCATGTACTTTATCACTGTTACTTCTAAGTCTCTGCCTAACTTGGCCATATCACAAGATCATAGACAGCCATACAGACTTACGAATTGAAAAACCTTGAAACTTCTAAAGGAAACTCTGCCTTTTTTGCTTTTAACTTACTTTTTCCTGGTCCTGATGTCTCCTTTTTTACTCTTCCAACATATATCAAAATTTGAATTCAAAGCAAAAACTACTGTTGTTTGTTAAAATTAAGAATTATTATTATTTTAATGAGAGAAGACTTCTTACCAGTCTGCAGAATTAAGAAGTAGGTACTTTTAAAAATATGGAAACAGGTTAA